GGTCAAACATTCTATCCTCCTAGGTAGCCAATGCCAATGTAAGTGAGTTCTGTCCAGGACTACGTCCGCAAAGCGTGCCAGCAATATTTCGCAGACTGGCCAACTCCGAAGGGGTCGCCCCTGCACCTGCAGCTCCGTGGCCAGCAGCTGGGAGCAGTCCTGTGCGCCAAAGAGTGGTGACCTGTACACCCGCTCCTCGTCGCAGCATCTGAAGGCGTGGGAGACGAGCGCGAAGAGGCTTCACCCTGGCCTGCGCCTGCTTCCGAACTGGACGGGCCCCTGGTATCTCATGTCCGAGGTTTCGTATCCATTTTTTGGCCGACAGGCGCAACTCTTGTGATCTACCTTGGAATCCTTTCAACGCTCCCTTCGTATTCGTCACGCAACCTGACTTCTCGAACTTAATGAGCATGCCTAACTCGCCAGCGTCCTGGCTAAACATGTGCACCGCGCGCTGCAAATTTGCTGCTCCTGTCATGTTGTTACCTGTTCACTGAACATTGCGATCGTCTACACGCGCACGTGGTATGATATCCTTGTGCATGTTGTGCACTCTCTCGATCGCTCGATATGTCAGCACCGTCAACAGTGTCGTGGCATGCGTACAACCTGCAAGTATGCCTTGCAATGCCCTAGTTGGAATATTCCAACACTCATATGCACGAATGACTCTAGACTGCGCGTACGTCTCCAACAGCAGCCAGATCAGCCGAAGGGGGAATTACATCTTCTGCGTCTCCGTCATGAGCGCTGGAAAAAAAGCACCGCCTCGAAGCATTTCCCCATATCCACTACAACAGTAATCGCATGCTCTTCCAAGTGATGCGCTACTTCAGCCTGTAAGTTGTGCTCATATGCTGCATATGTAGACGAGTAGGCTCTACGATGGACTTGGGTGTGCATGCAACCGCTTCTGTGATATGGGCCTACGTACTCGTGACCGCACTCTAACCATACGTTCAATACGAGTTACGAGTCGCCTTCCCCCCACATCAGGCTTTGCTATCCTTGCCATTCCATGTATGGTGCGATGTGATGGTCATATCAACATACGTTCGCAAGTCATGTGCAGCGCCCCCAGGACAGTCAGGCCCTCGTCCGAGACGTATCAGAAATTCCTGGGGTGGATCCTCATGTAGCCCACAGAGGTCTTCCTTGGAAAGGGCAATGCAGCATCCCTGATGTCCTGGACCTGGATGAAGTGCAACTCGTTCCATCCCCCTGATCCCTGAGGTAACTCCATGCACTTCGTATCGTGACACGTCCAGACCTCCCTCCACCTCCACACCTCGTCGTCTGCCAGCTGAAACGGTTGCGTGCGAGATGTGCAAGAGATGGTGGCCGCCAGCGCCTGAGTCTTAGAAACGCTGTGCGCCTTGCCAGCACCATCCAAAAACGCCGTTCTGGCCCAGCTCTTCCATCCTTGTTCACTTTTCCGCTGGGCCTTCTGTTCCAATGCATCTGCGCGTTCGATTATGCCAAAGGCCTTGTTCTCAAATTCAGAATATGTGAACTAATCAACTCCTGCCTGGGAGAAAGCACGTGTTTCTGGCTCCAGACATTGCAAGCGATCATGCTGCATCAGGATATGCCGACAGTAGCCCAGTACCTGCTGCATTGACTGAGCCAGACGTCTCACTGGGCCTCGATCATCATCATCCGCTTCCATCTTGATCGTGGCTTTCCTGTGCCTGCGGACCTCACGCCATACTGCGTCCACCGTGTCCTTCATGGGCACTGACGTCCAAGGTGAAGTATACCTTGGCAATCTGAGTCCTGTGCAATCTAAGCCATATTCTTTTCTGCATGCGCCTATCATCTTGACCCAACAGGGCTGGCACGTATGTTGTGTTTTGCCTGGCGTGCTGCCGTCATCCATGCTCTCGCCGTGGACCCATAGTGTTGCCGTGTGTGCCTGACGTCCCGTTTAGCTTCCACAAACTTGGCGACAATGGGCCCCGCTCTGCCAGCGTAGACTCTGCCATCATCCCCTACCAAATCACGACGTGCTAAGATCTCGGCCGCGATGCCAGATACAACCATATCCCATGCATGTCGTAGCTCGGGGTCCTTACTGACTTTGAGCACGAGCTTCATGGTGTCGTCCCACATTGACGGCGGTCTCGAGCATCCCACATGTGGACCCTTGGGTAGCTGCTTGGGCTCATGCGGGACTCTCAACCATACCTGCCTGCGTCCATCTATGATCGGGGCGGAACTGGAAAGTGCACTGGTAGCCCACCCGCGACATCAACCTCTGGAGGAGGTACCTTGGCCGCGGGCCTGTTCGAGACCACGACGTAGTCGTACGTGCTACCTTCTCACGCATTCGTCGTGCAACAGGTGATCTGTGTCGGAACTAGGAACAGCGCTCTGAGCTGCTGTAGCCAGGCCTGTGCATCAAACGCGGTCGACACCATATCCCAATCACCTCCCACAATCCAGCACTGCCCCATGTCATTGAGGCAGCCTAGGTAGCACACGAGCCTATACATAATGTCCTGATTCTGCTCATCCAGCCCAACTGAATCCTTGAAGCACACCGATGCGGCAACAATGCCTGCAGGAATGCCCCAGGATATCTTCGCCGCAACCATTTTCCCTTCATATAAAACTGGGTGTTGGAGCCCTGGCGGCAGCGTAACTGTCGCGTGCGTCGGGGCCAGCACTGCAACTCCAGATGATATGCCATCCAGCTCAGTACGTACGGCTGGCGCGAGTATGCCATGATACCCCAGCTGACGCAATCTTCTCTCTAGCCCAGGCAATGCTGCTTCATCCGCTTTGTGTTCTTGAACCAAGACCACTGCTGACTTACAGCCTTCCATATACCTGAGCAGGTGCCCCGTGTTATCCACATTGATGGTTGTGACGGCTCCTTCGGCAACATGAGAGCCGTCCCCATCGTGACTTTGACCATTGATTGTTCCTGATCCTGGCCCAGCAGAAGGTGGCGTTGGGGGACATTTCGCACACTGGAGTGCGTCTCCATAGCAAGCCGCCTCCTCATGCAACATGTGATAAGGGGGCACTCGCTGTGCACGTACTCCCTGTCTTGGTAGCAGTCATCGCCGTGTTCATTGATACAACCACCATGACAGCGACAACCGTCCATTCAAAAGGGGGTAAAAACTTGGCGCTGCGGTCCTTGACTCCGCTTGAAGAGCCTGTTGGTCGCCTGTCGCACTTCATCCCCTGTGGCCGTCTCGTCAATCTGGACGCCCACCGCTCCAATATGTTGTCGAAGGACCCCGACGGGGCTTCAGGAAGCGGCCCCTCGGGAACAGGAACGTGCGCGCCGCCGACGTCAGCGCCGCCATCAGCTGCGACAGCAGGCTGTGCAGGACCTCCTGAGGTAGATCCAACCACTGCAACCGAGGTGCCCGTGACCAAGGATGGCGAATGCCGCGCGATCTCCTCCGCCATAGGCTCGGCTGCCTCTCCTGCCCCGAGCTGCTTGAGGATGCGCCCCAAGGCCGTGCCGTCCAGCCCGAGTGCCGTGATGGGAGCTGCATGCGGATGAGCCCGTGCGCCTCCCTCAGGTGGCTGCGCCGCCGCCTTAGCCAGCTCAAGCTGCCGAAGACGTAGCTCCTCATGTTTAGCCTCCCGTTCAGCAAGCTCCCGCTGCGACGCCTGCAACGCCATCTGCAACTCAGTGATGTGCTGCATCTGTTTCGCAATCGCAAGCTTGGCCTTCGAGATCTTCTGAGACTCCTGAAACAGCTGGCGATTGATCTGGCACACTTGTGCTGAAGCGGGCTTCAGGGCATGGGCACGTTGCTGGAGATCGTCCTTCTCACTGCGAATAGCTGTCTGCAATGCATCCCAATGCTCACCCACTCCCTTTGCTATGTCCAGCTTCTTTTCGAGCTCGTGAATTCTTGCTCTGGCCTGGCCTTCATCAATTGACTTTCCACCATCAACAGCCATATCAGAAGAAGCCACAGTCTGAGGCGATAGCACAAGCTCAGGCCCTGGCAGTAGTTGCCCCTGCTGCTTGCGCTGCTGCATCTCATGCTCGAGCTTCTTGATCTGCTTCTGCGCATCTCGCAACTTCGCAGACAATGCCCATGGAGTGTCTTCCTTATCATCGCGAGCACGTTGGGCAGCAGCTGAGCGCTTTGATGGAGCAGCTGGGGCCTTGTAGCTGTGGAAACATGCCGACTTGGTCCTTTTGCACTGCCGGCAGCTCTGTCTCCCAGGTTTGTTGACAAATCGTTCTCCGCTACCTGAGTGGTAGCAGTACCTGCATAGCCAAGTGCGATCATCACTGCTCATGGGAACTGCTGATCCGTGGTGTCGGTCCAGAAGCTCGCAGTCTCGCAAATGGCGCAGTCTGCGCCTGGCCGCGGCGCGCTGGCGCCGCTCGGCCCTGTGCCACGCGGGCGAGGGAGATCGCGCGCCCGTGGTGGTGGTGGCAGTCGCCCAGAGGGCGGGGGTCGCGGTCTGTCGGATGTCCCGAAAGGTGGCGCTCCGGACCACAACGCCGAGGAGGAGGAGGAGGAGGAGGAGGAGGAGGCGGCGGAGGAGCAGGAGTGGGAGGAGGAGCAGGAGGAGGAGGAGGAGGAGGAGGAGGGAGGAGGAGGAGGAGGAGGAGGAGGAGGAGGAGGAAGGGGGGGAGGAGGAGGAGCAGGAGTGGAGGAGGAGCAGTAGTAGTAGTAGTAGTAGTAGTAGTAGTAGTAGTAGTAGTAGTAGTAGTAGTAGTAGTAGTAGTAGTAGTAGTAGTAGTAGTAGTAGTAGTAGTAGTAGTAGTAGTAGTAGTAGTAGTAGTAGTAGTAGTAGTAGTAGTAGTAGTAGTAGTAGTAGTAGTAGTAGTAGTCTCGTAGTAGTAGTAGTAGTAGTAGTAGTAGTAGTAGTAGTAGTAGTAGTAGTAGTAGTAGTAGTAGTAGTAGTAGTAGTAAGTAGTCGTAGTAGTAGTAGTAGTAGTTAGTAGTAGTAGTAGTAGTAGTAGTAGTAGTAGTCGTAGAGGAGGAGGAGATGCCCATCCGAGGGTGCCTGGGCACGTTTGGGCTCCTCGGCGCTGGTGGCCCGACCCCCCGCAGCTCGGCGCGTCCCCGCGTGCGGCGAGAGGGCGCCCGCGGCGGCCTGCGGGGCCGCGCCGCCCTGCCCGGGCTCTCTCGCAGGAGGGTGCCGCCCGGCAGCTTGCAGTGGCGGCCCGGCCCCCGCCCGAGCTGCCAGGGGGAACGACAGGGGGGAGGGGATGGGCATCTCCTCCTCCTCCGCCTCCTCCCCCTCCTCGTCCTCCTCCTCCTCCTCCTCCTTCTCCTCCTCCCTCCACCTCCCCTCTCTCCTCCTCCTCCTCCTCCTCCTCCTCCTCCCCCCTCCTCCCCTCCTCTCACTCCTCCTCCCCCTCCTGCCTCCTCCTCCTCCTCCTCCTTCTCCCTCCTCCTCCAACTCCGCCTCCGCCGCCGCCTCCTCCTCTCCTCCTTCCTCCTCCCTCCTCCTCCTCTTCCCTCCCTCCGTCCCTTCTCCTCCTCCGCGCGCCGCCGCCGCCCTCCTCCTCCTCCTCCCTCCTCCTCCTCCTCCTCTCCCTCGTCTCACCTCTTCCTCCTCCCCTCTCTTCCTCGTCCTCCTCCTCCTCCTCCTCCTCCCTCCTCCGTCTCCTCCTCCTCCTGCTTCTCCTCCTCCTCCTCCTCCCCCTCCCTCTCCTCCTCCTCCCTCCTCCTCCTTCCTCCCCTCCTTCTCCTCCTCCCCTCTCCTCCTCCTCCCCTCCTCCTCCTCCTCTCCTCCTCCTCCTCCTCCTCCTCCTCCTCCTCCTCCTCCTCCTCCTCCTCCTCCCCCTCCCCCATCTCCGGTCCCCCCCATTCGAGTCATGAACAAAATCAAGACATAAGTTTTTCATTGTCTTTTCGGCCTCTGGGGGCCCTTAACAGTCCTCGGGACCGTCAAAAAAGGATTCAAGATGGGGTTGGAGTAGATGGGCTCGGAGGATTGCGCCGCATCGGCGATGCATCGGCGATGCGGCTCGATGTAGGGCCCGATTTTCTCCGCGCTGGCGTCGTGGATGCATCGCCGACGTTGCCGATGCGTCGCCGATGCATCGGCGATGCATCGGCGATTTATTGGCGATTCGGCGCGGTCTTTTGACCACATCTACTCTGACCCATCTATGAGGCCTCTGAAACGACAGGGGGTGGGTGGGCATCGGGGGGGATGCATCGACCCACAGTGAGATCCGGCGCTCCAAACAAAACTGCAGCGGCGGGATTCCGGCAGGTTTCGGCCTCTGGGGGCCCTCGCCGGGTCTCGGGGAGACAATCATCTGGGGACATGTTTGATTACCTTTTGACTATTTTTGAATATTTTTTGGGTATTTTTTGTTTTTCGTCCAAAATTCGCCTGTAGGAGGTCACGCCCGACTTAAAACCCAGGATGAGATGGGGCCCACGCATGGAAAAATGGGAGCGGCCGGATGTCTGGGGAGGCATCGACCCACACTCGCTCGCTGATCGCCGATAGTCAACGGCATAAAAAAAAAGCCCCTACCCTGGTTCACGAGGCGCTGTGCGCTGAAACTCCTGTGGGCTGACAGGGTAAACCCTGCGTGATGTGCCGCTTCCTGGCGGCTCTAGGCTTTGGGTGTTCCCAGGAGGTTTGCAGACCACGCACTTATAACCCAGGGTAGGGTCGTTGTTTCATCCCTCAAGATAGGGAGCCCGAAGCAGTCAACGCGCCGAGTGATAGTTTTTTATTCATTGTTTTGCCGATCGGCGCGGGCCCCCAAACCCCCCCTCCCCCCCATGGAGTAGATCTTGGTTTCGAGCTGGTGGAGTCTCCCCCAGAGGCCGCACTCTTGCAAGCAGTCGCACTATAAGCAGAGGTCTGGAGCCAGATCCCCCCTTCTCCCTCCCCTTTGCTGCCCAATGTCCAAACGCCGAATAAGAACACGCTCACCTAGTCAGGGCTCGTGCCTTCATCTGGGGTGCCCTTCTGTTGGTCCTTGCCTCTGCGGCTTCTCCTCTGCTGTTTTTGCACTGGTCGGCATCGCTCGGACGTGTGTATCTTTTCTCGGCGCGGACCATCGAGGGGCCTCCGTGTCATCTTGCGGAAACTGCACGCACGAATCTGAAACATGCATTGGGAATGGACGTCCGAGCGATGGCAAGGATTAGGGAGGGATAGGCATCGTGGGGCATGCATCGACCCATTCATCACCCACCAAACCACCCCAACCCAACCTGAAGGCCCCAATGAACCCCCATTCCTAGTGGTGGGGCGGGCATCGGTCTAGGCCTCTTAGATGGTGCCCGAGTTAATGGGGTTGGAGCATCGCGCTGCATCGCCGATGCATGGCGATGAGGCTCGATGAGGAGCCCAACTTTCTCCACGCCAGCGTCGCCGATGCATCGTCGATGTATCGTTGATGCATCGGCGATGCGGCGCGTTCCTCCGACTCCATCTACTCGAACTCCATCTGAGAGGCCCCTGATCGGGGGGATTCATCGACCCACAATCGCCCATTGATCGCCGAAAGGGACCCGATAGCCCCAACCTGCCCAGGAAGGTACGGATTCATCATCGGAGGCCTATCGCCGATCTATCGGCGATGTATCGCCGACTCCAGGTCGATGCATCCCCCCTACTTCTTCCTCCTCCTCCTCCGCCTCCTCCTCCTCCTTCTCCTCCTCATACTCCCCCTTCCCCCATCTCCTCCTCCTCCGTCTCCTCCCCCTCTTCCTTGTTACGTTCGACTAACGTGAGGATCTAGCTTGTCGCGTCCTCGCAAGTGCTAGAAGAGTGGACTTGACTCGGGGTACTGCACCTGGCGGGCGCCGCCGAAACTGCGGGACAAAAAGCCGTAGGCGCCCGCCAGGTAGAAACCGACACAAACCTTAGTGGACAAGCTCCTCCTCCTCCTCCTCCTCCTCCTCCTCCTCCTCCGCCTCCGCCTCCGCCTATAAACCAATATTAACACTCCAACACCAATGGTACATGTCGCCTCGGTAAGAGAAAGAGAAAGGCTAGACAGATGGCCAGGTGCGAAGCTGAAATGACAAGGAGTTTCTTGGGTTGCTGCCCAGGGCTTTAGGAAGACCCCAAACCGTAGGTTCGTTCTCCCCAGCACAAGTCCCCAACACCAGTCTATCAGCCCACATCCCCCGTCCAAAAGATCATGATGAGGCTGGCTTTGCTGCTTTCTGTCAGGCGACAAATGTGAGGGATAGGCTGGCCCTGTGGGCTGGCCTGTCAAGGTCTGTGATACACAGGCTTTCAAGGTGGCACCGCTTCTACTGTAGGAGAGGCCTGCAGAAAGGTGCCAGGGTCTGAGTGAGGCTGGCTGTGCTGCAAAAGAAGTGCCGCTAGAGCTGACAAAGCATGTCGCAATCCAAGCATCTTTAAAGTGGATTTGGTGGCTTGTGCCATGTGTGCAACCTCCGCCCATATACCTGATACATCCTGCCCACACCCCCTCAGGCAAGAAAAGTGAGGTATAGGCTGGCCCTGTGGGCTGGCCTCGTTGCCTGTGAAGGTACAGGCTTGTAGGTGACGGCTTGTAGTGTAGGAGAGGCGTGTGGCCAAAAGAAGGCTGGCCGTACAGAGTAGCAGTTCTAGGGTTGCTGCCCAGGGTTTCTTGGTTAACCCCGAACCATGCAGGTACTGCAATTCTCGCCCCAACCTCCCTCATAAGCGCATCCACCCATCCCCAAGGTCAGAGTTCGGCTGGGGTTGATGCATGTAAAAAGGTGAGGTCTCGCGTGTAGGTCAGGGGATTCCAGAGTAAAAAACCTTGGGTGCAGGACAGCAAGTGGAGCGACTGTAAGCTTTGGCATTCCCTGGGCTGCTACCCAGGGTTTCTTTGGGTTTACCCCGAACCGCCTGGACCAGGGGCCACGTGCTTTTCGTACATGGTTTTTGGGTTCAGCACGAACCCACTGTGGCATCAGGCGAGGCTGGCGCAGTGCTGGCTGGCCTGTACACAGTAGTGTCGTTCTATGCATTGAGGTCCTCCTCCTCCTCCTCCACCTCCTCCACCAACTCCACCTCCTCCTCCCCCTTCCCCTCCTCTTTCTCCTCTTTCTCCTCCTCCTCTTTCTCCCCCTCCTCCTCCCCCTCCTCCCCCTCCTATCGTTGCCCCTCAAACTGGCGGGCCGCCGCTTCGCAAGGGATGGGCTGCTGCGCGCCGTCGGGCCCGCGCGGAGCTGGCCTTCCGGCCCCGCGCCCACCGCCAGAGGCGGCCCCGCGCCCACCGCCAGATGCACCAGGCCCAGTGCTGGGTGCGCCGACGAGGGGGCGAGGGCCAGGGTGTGCAGACCCTTAGATCCGACGCTCCATAGAAGTCGGAGCGGCGGGATTCTGGCATACTCTGGCCTCTGGGAGCCCCCGCCGGGCCTCGGGAGCGCCCCCCCCCCCCCCAAAAAAAAAAAAAACGGCTCAGGATGAAAGACCGGCCCTTGGGGAAGTGGTCCGGACCTCCAGGGGCCCACGCATTCAAAAAACTTGGAGCGGCCGGATGTCTGGGGAGGTACCAGGCCCAGAGTTGGGTGCGCTGACAAGGGGGGTGCGGGCCAAGGTGTGTGCTCTGGCCCGTTTCGCCTGAGACGTCCTCACCCCTCCGGGTTCGGAGATGTGGTTCGCGAGGCACTCAGGCACGTTTCGCCTGAGACATCTTCGGGATCCCTGGCTCTGACAGTTTGGCCTGAGACGTCCTCGCAACTCTGGGTTGAAGATGCGATTCGTGAGGTGCTCAGGCCCGTTTCGCGTGAGACATCCTCGGAAGCCCGGGCTCCGAAGTGCCTTGACTTGAGGTTCTCTGGCCCGCTGGGCTTGAGATATCCTCGCAACTCGCACCTCTGGGTTCCAAGATGCGGCTCGCGAGGTGCTCTGGCCTGGTTCGCCTGAGACATCCCTGGGCTCCAAGATGTGGTTCGTGAGGTACCCAGGCCCGTTTCGCCTGAGACATCCTCCGAACCCTGGGCTATTGCGAGATGCCCTGAAATGAGGTGCTCTGGCCCGTTTCGCTTGAGATGTTCAGACGTGGTCCGCGATGTGCTCAGGCACGTCCCGCCTGAGGCATCCTCGGAATCCCTGGCTCCGAGATGCCCTGACTTGAGGTGACCCGGGTGTAAATGCGCCACGCTTGAAGACGGTATTGACGGAGTTGTTGCTGGGATGCGACCCGGTGCAAGGGGAAGTTGGGGACCAAGAGGAAATGTCAGAACATAAGGTTTATCGCCATGCATACGTACATACATACATACATACATACATACAGACACATACATACATGCATGCAGGCAGGTACACATACATACATACATACGTCCATGCATGCAGTCAGGCATACATACATACATACATGCAGACACACAAGCCATACGTACATATACATACATACACACACATACACACACATACATACATACATACATACATACATACATACATACACACATACATACATACATACATACATGCATACATACATACATACATACATACATACACACATACACACATACACACATACATACATACATACATACATACATACACATACACACATACACACATACACACATACATACATACATACATACATACATACATACATACATACACACACACACACATTCATACATACATACATGCATACACACATACATGCATACATACATACGCACATACATACATACATATATGCTTACACACCACATACATGCATACATACACACTTCCATGCATACACGCATACACATACATGTATGCACCCATCTACACATACAAACACATACATACATGCATGCACACATGCACACACATATATACCTACCTATCTACCTACATATATACATACACACATACATGTATACACACCTTTACATACGTGCAACCATACACACATGTATCCACACACATGCATACATGCATACACACATACATACACACTTATGTACACACGTGCATACAGACACACATCCATTCATACATACATACCTCAGTACACACATACATGTATACACACATACATACTACATACTTACTTGCGTACACACGTACGTACGTTTGTACGTGCGTACGTGCGTATACACATACATAAGTGCACACACATATGCATGTATCATATTCGGCAGGCAGGTTCATTTCTCATACACACCATCTCTCTCACATATATATATATAGATGCATATATATATATATATATATATATATAGGCATCGGGGATCTCGCCGTCGCCTTCTCGCGCCTCCCCGTGCGGATAGTGACCTACGTGGCGGCGGAGACGGATCCCGAGGCACGGCGGGTGGCCAGGCTGTTCTGGCCAGTGGTCGTCGATTGGGGCGACGTCACGCACGTGGAGGCCCCGATGCTGCAGGAGCTGTTCGTCGCCTCCAGCGATCACGTGGACCTCTGCATCGCGGCCGCTGACAGCCCATGCCAGGATCTCTCGCGCCTGAGCGTCGACGGCCGCGGCCTTGGCGGGAAGACGTCGTCGTTGTTCCGCGAGGTTCCGCGCGTCCTGGGCTTACTGCGCGAGACCTTTGGCTCGAAGCTGTGCTGGTTCGTCGAGAACGTGGCCAGCATGTCGCACGAGAGTGTCAGGCTCATCTCGACCGCGCTGGGCGTGCGGCCGTGTCTGGTCTGCTCGTCTGTCTTCGTGCCCTGCAGCTCATGTCGCCGCTCCGCCTGGCCGACCGCAGGGCCTGCGACGAGTTCGTCGGCGAGGGCGTCCCTCTAATGGGCATCTCTTGGGAGGACGAGGGCTGCGAGTGGCCTGGGCGGCCTGGAAACTTCCCGACACTGGTCTGTTGTAAGCCCCATGGCCGCTGCCCCTTGGCGCCCCGCGGCTTCGCGGCAGCGTCGGCCGCGGCCCGTGCTATATGGCAGGCTGACTCGCGTCGGTGCCACGTTGCCCTGTACGAGGAGAAAAGCATGGTCCGAGACCCGAGCAGCTCCCTCCCTTTCCCAGCAGCGAGGAGAGTGAGCGTCAGCTGGGCTTCGATGTGGGGCGCGCCGCCCTAGCCACGAAAGGGTCGAACCCGCAGGACGTGTCCGATGCCAGGGCCTTTCTCCTCGGCAACAGCTTCAGCGCGTACGTCGTGGAATTGATGGGTCGCTGTTGCTGCGCCAGCGAGGGGCCCTCGTTCGGGAACTTAGCATCCACGAAGTGTCCCGCGTGGGCCTGTGTCAGGAGACCTGGGGCCAGGCGGGGGCCTTCGAGACGGACGCTGGCGACCCTGGCGCGGAGCAGTCGAGGCGGCTGGTCCAGTGCTGCCTGGGCCGCGCGGAGAACGGGGGCACGGGCGTCAGGCTGGACAGCGGCGTCCCCATGCCGCGCTGGCGGCTAGCCGAGGTCGAGCCTCGGCCCCTTCGCGTGGAAGTGGCGCGCCATCCTCAGCATGGCGTGGCCGCGCGGCAAGTCAGCGCGCATAGACGTCAGAGAGCTGCAGGCGGCGACAGTGGCCTCGAGGGGGCGCGCCCGCAAGGTCTCGCTGCGCGGGGGCCGCTACCCGCACCTGGTGGACAGCCAGGTGGTCGCGGCCATCGTAGCGAAGGACCGCAGCAGTAGCAGGAAGCTCCAGCCCGTCCTGAAGCGCTGGATGGCCGTCGCCGCGGCGGCAGAAATGCGCCCGCTGGTCGGCTGCATCGTTTCGGAGGATAAACTCAGCAGACGAGCCGTCGAGGAAGCTGCTGTGGTGTGGCTCGAGGGCCAGAAGGCGCGGGCGGGGCCGACTGCGCGGGCCGCCGCCCGCCGCGGGCCCCCTCGCCTGAGGCGCCGCGGCGCCCGCCGCCAGACCTCGGCGCCCCTGCGCGTGGCGGCGGAGAAGCAGCGTCGGTGCGAGCGAGCTGTGCAGGCCGTGCCGGCCCACTGCGGCGTTGCTCTGCAGAGCCTGCGGGCCTTTGGCGACGATGGCGAGGATGTTGGCGCCCTCGTCGCCAGCTACCTTGAGAACCTCTGGGCCGCTGGTGCTGGCGTTGCGGCCGCCGACGAGGCGATGGCGGAAGCGTGCTTCGCGGCGCCCGGGCTGCGGCGGCGGCGGGGCCTCTGTCGGGCGCTGCTCAAGACGTGGAGACACCGCGAGCCTGCTTCGAGGGTGCTGCCACTCACTGCCGAGGCGACTGCGGCCATGGCAGGGTTCGCGTGTACAGCAGGTGCTGTCGACGTCGCGGCGCTCCTCCTCGTCTCGTTCGAGGGCATGCTGCGCGGCTCGGAGGCCTTCGCCCTCGCGGCGGGCGACGTCGTCGACCGTGGCGCGGTCATCGTGGTGCGGGTCGCCTCGTCTCAGACCATTGCCGGTAAGGACTGTGCGGGGGCGGTGGTCATCCGCTCCAGTCTGGCGCTGGCGCTCACGCGGATCGCGGCGCGCAGTTTCGGCCACGACGTGCAAATCTCGTAGAAGGTCGCCCTCCCAGCCCCGAGGCGCGCTGGCCGCTTCGGCGCGTGGCTTCGGCCTGCCGGGCCCCGTCTCGTGGCGCAGCTGCTGCCGTGGGCGCCTCGGACTTCTCTGTGAGGTCTGGTTCGATGGAGGCGGCCCTCGCGGCGGGCAGGTGGGGCAGTTCGGCCGCGGCGCGCATTTACATCGAGGGCGACGTTGCCGACCTCGTGCGCGCGGGGCCCTCGACCGCTGGCGCCCGCGCAGTCGCGCTGGGCATTCTTCTCTTGCAGCTCTCCGCAGAGAAAGAGCCGCCTCGTTCCATCGCCTCCTTCCGCCTCCTCCGTTGGGGCGGCTCGAGCGCAGGGGCTTCTGCTTCGCGATGGGTGGGGGGTGTTTATCCGAGGGGGGCTCGCTTCGCTGCGGCTTGCCCTGGCGGCGGGCCGCGCCGCCTCGGCGGCGGCGAAACGAGACTTCCCTGGATGGGTGCTCCTCGCCCCTTGCTTAGCCGGAGCCTCGCGTCTTGAGGGCGTGATGTTTGGAGTCCTGATGTGACGTGTCTATGTCATGCGTTCCCCCCCATCGCCCCCTCCCGCCTCCTCAGTCCGAGTGGCTCTGGGTCTGGGAATCGGTTTCGCGGGGCTCGGGGGGGGGCCATTCGTGATTCAGTGGGCGCAGATGCGAGGGTGCATGGCAGCTCCTACTCCAAGAAAGAAAGCGACGCGACAAGGCCGACGAGGCAGCGTGGACCTTCTGTCCAAGGGCCGAGCACGGGAAGTTGCAGGTTCAGCGTGCACGGCGCTCTTCCTCTCTTCGGACAGGCCCGACGCGACGTGCGCCAGCAACGCCGCGATGCAGCGCGTTTCAAACCCAAATGTTCTGCTGCATGCGCGAGTTCAGCGGCTTGGGCGGTACTGCGAAGGACAGCCTGTGTTGGCCTGGTGCTACCCTTTGCAGGGTACTCCTGAAGGCGTTCGCTTGGACGGAGATGCAGACTGGGCCCCATGCAAGCAAATTGCAGAGACGATCCACTAGCGGAGGAGCAGTGCGGCGTGGTAACCACACGTGGGGCTGCTACTCAGTGACGCAAAGCACCATGGCTCTAAGCTCATGGGAATCCGAGATGTATGCTACAGGCAGTGCGACTGCCAGAGGGCTCCAAAGCAATACCTGCCTGATCGAGACCAATAGTCCCTGCAACCTGAAGATCTACAGTGACAGCACCGCGGGACGGGGCATGTGCAGCAGAGTGGGCGTGGGCAAGGTCAGGCACCTGGAACTGAGATACTTCTGGATTCAAGAGCGTCTGCGACTGAAGGCCTTTGAGCTCCTGCATGAGGACGCCGACGATTGCGGCCGACATGCTCACCAAGTACAGCGAATGGTCGACGATAGAAAAGCACTGCGCCACTTTGAACCTTATGTTCAGGAAACAGTTCAGAGGCTTGAACACGATGGCAGTTTTTACGGGAGTCGCGACTTCTGCATCAGGCGAGAAGGCGACGGTGTACGAGGAGCCAGGCCAGGCAGCGGTTTGCCCCGCACCTGTGCCCCACTACGTGGACAGGGGGGATTTCTGGTTCATCCTGAAGACGGGCGCCTTCGTGGATATCGCCGCGGTGTTTATTTTTCTTAGGCTGCGTGCGCGGTTGCTACGCGAGGAGCTACCTCGAGAAGGACCTCATCCAGGAGGCGGTTGACTCCGCGCCTGGAGACGCCGACGTCTACTACCCAGCTACGTGGACTGACGCGGATGTCAAGGCCAGAAGTGTACAGGGACTTGGCATTGGCACAGAGCATCGCCCAGCGCGACACGACGGGGGAGCGAGGCACAAGCTTTTCGACGCGTTTCTCGCCGCCGACTTGAATCATATCTTGAGAGCCAAAGGCTTGCGCGTGAGTGGTCTCGAAAGACGACCTGATCATGGGGCTGATCAAGAAGGGCAACGTCCTGTCGGATCGCCGGGCCAAGGAGATCGAGCAGCTGCGAGTGGCGGCTACGGCGTGCGGACCCCTGATCAGGATCAACCTTCAGGATTTGAATTGCCCTGAGGCCGCGCAGCACTGGATCGAGACGTTCAAGAGCGAGTGCCGAGATCGTCTCGATGGCTCTCAGCTGATCCACTCAGGGAGCTACGCGGATGGTCGATGGGAGCACTACGACAGCCGAGGCTGAGACAACGACCTGGCTGCGGTTAGTCCCGCGCCTGCCCGCGGTGGGTAGCCCCGCGCTCGGGCTGAGGGCCTGCGGGGGGGCCCCGCAGAAGGCCCGCGGAAGGCCCGCGGAAGGGGCCGCAAAGTTGGCGCCCTGCTCGCGCTTCTCGGCTGGAGGCCGAGCCGCTTGCCTGCGCCCGAGGAGAGGTGCTCGGAAGCTTGTAGTTTCACGAGGATATATGATTATATCAAACTATAATCAAGAAAGAGAGCAGCCCTCCTTCCCCCCTCTCTCCGCGACGAGGGTCGGGGAGCGCGTACAATCAGTTCATAAGTAGTTGTTAAAACGAGTTTCACCATTCTGCCTTTCCGGCTTCTTCACGCTCTACGACGGCCATAGAGGCCCCCAAGATCGCCCGCCCCACGGCCGCCTCAGACGCTCTCGAGAAGGTACAACACACAGCCCAATGGCGCCCAAGACGGCACACGGGCCGCTCCAGACGCGTCGTAGACGGCCCCAAACGGCTCAAGAAAGCTCCCAAAGGCCCCCAAGATGATCCGAGAACGGTCCGAACCGTTTGCAGAGGCGTTCCGCACGCCCCGACGGCCTCCCCACGGCCGAATAGGCTTCCAGGGCGACCGAAGATGCCTCCAAAAGCAGTCTTAGGAGAGCCCCAAGAATCGACAAACTCAGCTGCTTTTCTGTCAGGCTTTCTCCGCAGTTTTCGCCGTGCTGCTTTTTCGGCTTCTCCACGCTCGAAAACAGCCGAAGAGGCCCCAGGATCGTCCGAAGATCGCCTCAGACGTTCCCGCAAAAGTGCCAATACAGCCCCCAAGGGCTCCAAGATGGCCCACGAGGCCACCGGGGCTTCCTGGGCCCTGGGAAGGGCCTTCTGGAGGCCCGTTCGGGAAACCATCTTGGGCCCCTCCACCGCGGCGTGGGGCCGTTCCCAGAGGACTTCCGTAGCAGTGACCATACAGTCGCGCGAGAGAGCGCGCGAGTGAATTGCCTTGCTATGCTCTTGGGGGCCTCTCCTGGAGCACTTCCCAGCTCTTCGTGGGGCCTTCAGCGCGGCGCGGGGGGGCCCCCAGAGCGCTTCCACAGTGCAAATCAAGTTGCGCGAGAGAACGCTCGTGTGATTTGCCTATCACTGCTTTCGAGAGCCCCCTGGAGCCCTCTTCGGATCCTCCGGGAGCCGTTCCGAGATCCTCTTGGGGCCTGGCAGCGCGGCCTGAGAGGGCTCCCAGAGTGTTCCAATAGCAGTGCAAGTTCAGTCACGCAAGAGAGCTCTCGCGTGGCGATGACGATGATTATTACGATGGTGATTGTGACGACGATGATGCTTGTGATGCCGATGATGACGATGATGACGATGATGATGGCGATGATGATGATGATGCTGATGATGATGCTGATGCTGATGCTGGTGCTAAAGCTGATGCTGATGCTGATGCTGCTGCTGATGATGACTATGATGATGGTAATTCTGATTTTGGTGCTGTTAATGCTGCTGTTGCATCAGATGACGATGATGCTGCTGCTGATGACGGTGCTGCTGCTGCATCAGATGGCCCCTTTTCTTCGGCGCACCCGATCCGCGACCCAGGGCGTCGGGCCGGGCGCGGTGGGGAGCAGAGAGGCCGTTGCCAAGCAGTCGACTGCACGTAAGAGCGACCCTTCGCTGGGTTGACTTTCGGTGCGGGCCCACTGGGGTCCCCTGATCGCCGAAAGCGATGCGATGGTGGCGTTTTGCGCGCTCGTGTTTGGCCCCCGCCCCCCGCGGCCTCCAACAAGCCGCGCGCCAAAGGTCACTCTTACCCAGGGTCACTCCTGCGTGTAGCCGAAAGCAGCCCCTGGACGTCCAGAGCGAGCTTGCGCTGACGGCGGAGCGCACGCTGGGCGCGGATCACCCCGACACTCTGCTGTCGCTCGGGAACCTGGCGGCGACGCTGTTCGATCTGGGCCGGTTATCCCGAAGAAGAGAGCTCGGCAAGAGCGCAGCTTTTCGCAGGTCCGCGCGGGCTTCTCGGATCTGCGCCAGGTCCCCCTGGCGGCGCCTCCGGCGCCACCCCTGGCGCCCTCTGGAAGCCAAGGAGGGGGTCCAGCGGCGACGACGACAACGGACGACGACGGACGACGACGGACGACGACGACGACGGACGACGACGATGACGACGACGACGACGACGACGACGGACGGCGACGGCCACGACGACGGACGACAACGACGAGGACGACGACGCCGACGACGACGGACGACGACGACGACGACGACGACGGTCGACGGACGGCGGACGACGACGACGGACGACGACAGACGACGACGGACGACGACGGACGACGACGGACGACGACGACGAGGGGCGGCGACGACGGCGGCGACGACGACGACGACGACGTTGGACGACGGACGACGGAAGACGGACGACGGACGACGGACGACGGACGACGGACGCCGGCGACGGCGACGGCGACGGCGACGTCGACGACGACGAGGGACGACGACGACGACGACGACGACGGACTTCGACGGACGACGATGGACGACGACGACGGACGACGACGAATGCGACGGCGACGAACTCGACGACGACGAGGGACGTCGACGACGACGGACGACGGACGACGGACGACGGACGACGGGACCACGGTCGACGGACGACGGACGACGGATGACGGACGACGGCGACGGCGACGGCAACGGCGACGACGACGACGACGAGGGAAGACGACGACGGCGACGGACGACGACGGACGACTACGGACGACGACGGACGACGACGGACGACGACGTACGACGCCGACGACGACGACGGCGACGACGACGCCGACGACGACGACGACGACGGACGATTGACGACGGACGATTGACGACGGACGACGGACGACGGACGACGGACGACGGACGACGGAAGACGGCGACGGCAACGGCGACGGCGACGACGACGACGACGAGGGACGACGACGACGACGTTGGACGAGGGACGACGACGGACGACGACGGACGACGACGGACGACGACGACAACGACGACGCCAACGACGACGACGTCGGACCACGGACGGTGGACGACGGACCACGGACGACGGACGATGGACGGCGGACGACGGACGACGGCGACGGCGACGACGACGACGACGACGGTCGACGGACGACGGACGACGGACCACGGACGATTGACGACGGACGACGCTCGACGGACGACGACGACGACGTCGACGGTGACGGCGACTGCGACGACGACGACAACGAGGGAGGACGACGATGACGACGACGGACGACGACGGACAACGAGGGACGACGACTTCGACGGACGACGATGACGACGACAACGACGACGACGGCGATGACGGTGACGCCGACGCCGACGCCGACGACGACGACAACGACGACGGTCGACGGACGACGGACGACGGTTGATGGACCACGGACGACGGACGACGGACGACGGACGACGGACGACGGCGACGGCGACGGCGACGGACGACGGACGACGGACCACGGACCACGGACGACGTACGACGACGACGACGACGGACGACGATGACGACGGACGACGGACGACGGACCACGGACGACGGACGACGGACGACGGACGACGGCGACGGCGACGGCGACGACGACGACGACGACAACGACGACCACGACGGACGACGGACGCCTCACGACGACGGACGACGGACGACGGACGGCGGACGACCGACGACGGACGACGGACGACGGACGACGGACCACGGAGGACGGACGACGGACGGCAGACGACGGCGACGGCGACGACGACGACAACGACGACGGTCGACGTCGACGACGTTGGACGACGACGACGACGAGGGACGACCGCGACGGCGACGGCGACGACGACGACGATGACGACGACCGACGACGACGGCGACGGCGACGCCGACGGCGACGGCGACGGCGACGACGACGACGACGACGACGCACGACGGACGACAGACGACGGACGACGGACGACGGTCGACGGACGACGGACGACGGACGACGACGACGACGACGACGACGACGACGACGGACGGCGACGGACGACGACGACGACGACGACGGACGAAAGAGGACGGTCGACGGACCACGGACGACGGGCGACGGACAGCGGAAGACGTACGACGGTGACTTCGACTGCGACGACGACGACGACGACGAGGAACGACGACGACGACGAGGGACGACGACGAAGACGACGGACGACGACGACGGGGACGACGACGACGACGAAGGACGACGACGACGACGAAGGACGACGACGACGGCGACGACGGACGACGACGACGCCGACGACGACGACGACGACGACGACGACGGACGAGGACGGACGACGACGGACGACGACGACGACGACGACGAGGGACGACGACGACCTCGCCGCCGCTTGTCGTCCTCGCCGCCGACCGTCGCCGTTGCCGCCCTTGTCGCACTCGTCGCTCACGCTCGTGGCGATGCCTCTTCTTCGCAGCATCGGAGGCGGAGGCCCTCGACCGCCACGTGCTCGAGGCCGCCGAGCGCACGCTCGCCGCGGACCACGGCTTCACCCTGCAGGCGCTCCGGAACCTGGCGGCGACGCTCGCGGCCCAGGGCCGCGCCGCGGAGGCGGAGCCCCTGGAGCGCCGCGTGCTCGAGGCCTGCGAGCGCACGCGGGGCGCGGAGCACCCCGACACCCTCGTGGCGGCCGGGGACCTGGCGGCGACGCTCCACAGCCTGGACCGGGAGGCGGAGGCGGAGGACCTCGAGTGGCGGGTGGTCGAGGCCTCCGCGCGGAGGCTCGGCGCGGACCACCCCGACACCCTGCAGGCCCAGGAGAGGCTGGCGGAGACTCCCCGCGGGCTCGAGCGCAAGGCCGAGGCGGAGCGCGCGAGACGTGAGGAGGCTGCTCGTCGTCGTGTCCCGCCTCGCCCATCGGGGCTTACGACCCGGCTGGAAGAGGAGGCGCAGAAGATCGTTCGGGGAAAAGGATTCTCTGATGGGTACATCTTTTAGAAGTGAGGCGATACAGAGAAGAGTAGTACGGCCCCTGCACAAAGATGGCACGTGCCAATGTGGAGTTTTTAGTCCATCGCTCGGCTCATTCAGCTTGCCCGTATTGTAACATCGTTGGCACTTGCCTGCGTGCGGACATTTTTGGAGCCTTGTGGTGTCTTTTGGGGGCTTCTTGGAGGCCTCTTGGAGCCTCGGTGTTCTTGGGGGCCCCTGGGGGCCTTCTGGGGGCCTTGCGACAGTCTCGGAGGCAACCTTTGGGGGGAGGGCCCGACGTGAATTCGGAGTCCCCCTCTTGGGGCCTCTCGGGAGCCTCTTGGGAGCCGTCTTGGGGGGGCTCTTTTGCTGTCTTGGGGCCTTCTTGGGCCATTTTGGGGCCGTCACGGGAGCCTCTTGGGCTGTCTTGGGCCGATCTGGAGGCCTCCTGAGCCGTCTGCGGCAATCGGAAGCTCGAAGAGGCGGTGACTCCGAAATCCTTCCAAAAACCAGCGGGAACTGCCTGAGATTGATTGAACTTGGGGACCATCTCGGGGCCACACATCCCGATGCATTCTGTCAGTATCGTTTAACCGATCCCCATCCCCATCCTCATCCCCTTCGGGACCCCCACCAAATTGCCACCCCAGTTGGGGATACACCTCTCGATACCCGAAGGGAACGACCTATATCCCCATCTAGGGGGGTAAATCGAACAGTTGGGCCCAGGCCACGCCGCTGGGGATGGGGATCGGTTAAACGATACTCATTCTGGAGGGCAGGGAACGAGGGAGCAATCCCTTGGAGCGAGAGGAGAGGAGGATGCGGATGAGAGAAGGAGCAGGAGCAGTCAGCGAGAGGACCGAGGAGGAGGAGAGGAGGAGTGCGGAGAGGCGGGAGTGGGGCAGTGTTGTAAGGAGGAGGAGGAGAGGATGAGGAGGATGAGGAGGAGCGAGGAGGAGGAGGAGGAGGAGGAGGAGGAGGAGGAGGAGAATCTCGATGCATTCTCGAGGCCGTCTTCGAGCAATCTTGGGGCGCCCCGTCCTCCTGGGCACTGCCAGATCTCCCTTAAGGGGCTCGAGGCGCTCCTGGGGCGATCTTGATCAGGGGGGGAAAGACACACAGGCACAAATAAATGCCGACTTTCCAAAAACATATGGGAAACTGTGGGAAGTGGTGGGGAAGACGAAAATCAAAAACATATCGGGAAATGTGGGGAATCCTGGGATTCGTACGTATTTGTTTGTGTGCTCCTGGGTTCCTTCACTCGAGGGCCGGAAGACCGCCCCAGGGAGCTCCGGCATCCGTGGCCGGAGTAGGCCGGGCCTTTTTCCGCCTCGGGACCCCGAGGGGCAGCCCCGCGCGCGCGCGCGAGGAGGAAGCAATATTGCAAACCTCTTATGCTGGAGATCTTAGCACGCCTTTGGCCCGCTGGTCCTGCGAACTTGAGGAGCTGTTGTGCCAGACTCTGCGGCGACCCCGCGCCCACCGCATTTAAGGTGGCGGCGGCCCCCTCTCTTTCGAGGAGCGGCCAGACGCGTTACAGCTGTTTGCGGTAGCATCTCGTCTCCCCCCTGAGCCCTCGGCTCGGCTCCCCGGCCACTGACACATTTGGTGCTCGTGCTGTCAATGCTCTGCTCTCCTTGGGCTTTGCAGCGTCGTCCGCCAATCATGGCTTTCTCCTCCTTCCAGTTCTACGACGGCTTCCTGGCCAGCGGGCTCCTCTGGGACTCCGTCGCCCACGACCGGCCCTGGCCCCCCATCGAGAACACCATCAGCGCGCGCCCAACAACGGATCAGAAAGTGCCGAGGCTGCGTAAGATCCTTCAGGGTGCTGATCACGCACGCGGACCCCTGCATCAGCGGCTTCTCATGCTGCCCGAAGTCCGTTTCCACGCGAGCGTGGCTCTGGGAGCCGGTGCCCGCAGATGATGTGCGACGGGTCGTGGTCCTCGTGCCGATGGCCAGTCGTATGGTACTGTGAGCTTGGGCCTTGGAAGCCATGGGGCCACAATAGTCTGCGGCAGGCCGCGGGCCGGGGGCCAGGGGCACGGGTACGGTAGGTTCGTGCCGTGCCGACTGGCGGCGACGCCGCCAGTGGCGTTCAACGTTGAGCGCCGCGGGCGACCCAGAATCGCGTTCGTTGTGGAAAGATTTGGACGTTTCGGAATCGGCCGATCGTTCAAGGTTGAACGATCCCCGCGGTGTCAGAAGCCAACGCCGAAGCCGACACGACGCGAACCTGCCGTACAGATGGTGGCAGGAGAGAGAGTTTCACATCCGTTCTTGCACCTATATCTGCACATGCACTTTCTATGCTGCCACGTGACTGCCGCAGCCTGGAGTCCCCTCAGGGAGGCCAGTCTACATGTAAGTCGGTTGAAAGGCCGAAGGGTTTCTAAGTACCCCGTAGCGTGTGCCGACATCGAAGGGACTCAAAGCGGCCCTACATGTAGTCGATGCCCATTCTGGCAGGTTTACCGCTTTTTGCTGAGTGGACGCGTCTCGCAAGCCGGAGTGCCACAGTCCTCTTCGCGTTTGTTGCTTCAAAGTGTGACCACCAGTTTTAGGTTGCCCAGCGAGAGCTGTTCGGATGCTTCCAGATTTTCCTCCAGTCGGTCAACACCTCTAGTACCCTAGTGTGGTGTACAGTTGATCCAATGTCGTGGCCCAGCACGATCGAGGCCCAGCTCTGTCACCGTGCTGCAGTCTGGTGCCCAACTGTCGAAGCCATGAGCTGGTGCTTGGGATGCGGCCGAAAGAGGAAAACAAAGCATGTTCATAAAAAAAACGGTCAACGAAACGTACCCAGGCCTACTCCGGCCACGGATGGCAGAGCTCGCGGGGGCGGTCTCCCGCCCTCAAGATCTCTCCGCAAGAGCGCCCCAAGGGACCCTACGGGAGCTCAAACAAGGTCCAAGAGTCGAGAGGAATTTGTTGGACGCCCCAAGATGCCCGAAGACAGTCTCCAGAGTGCTTCAGGATAGCTCCAAGATGATCCCAGAGCCGCAAGAGAGCCCCCAGAGGCTTAAACCCAATGATGCTTCTTGGGTTTTGGAAGGATTGTGACGTCACCGCCTCTTCGAGCTTCCGATTGCTGCAGACGGCCCAAGAGGCCTCGAGATCGGCTCAAGGCAGTCGAAGAGGCTCCCAGGACGGCCCCCAAACAGCCCAAGAACCCCAAGAAGGCACAAGAGGCCCCCCAAGAGGGCTCCAGAGACTCCCAAGAGGCTCCAACAGGGGGAATCCGAATTCACATGTCGGGCCCTTCCCCAAAGATGGCCTCCGAGACTGTCACGAGCCTCCCCAAAGGCCTCCAGAGGCCCCCGAGACACCCCCAGGGGCCTCCAAGGGGCCCCCAATAGGCCCCACGAGGCTCCAAAAATGTCCTCGCGAGCATGCAAGTGCCAACGGTGTTATAATCTGGGCCAGCGGAGTGAGCGAAGCGATCCGCCACCGATACGGGATGACTGTACGCACCTCTCGCATTTACTTCTCCCTCGGAGCCCTGGAAGCCCCTCCTGCGGTCCGCCCCGCGGCCTTCTCGTCTTGCCTGCCCCGGCTGCGTCCCGAGCGTCCGCTGCCCGCCATTTTGCCCCCCAAATCAACTACAGTCAATCCACATAGGCGCGCATAGTCGGGCTTCGGCCCCCTCCTGGCACCGATTTTTGACGGCCCTGGGGCCCCAGAGACCGCCACCAGGGGCTGAATTTTTGGAGAAACCTCCTCGGTCTTCGAAGGCTACCCTTGCATCCTCCCCCTTCGGCCCATTCTCGGCCGCTTTCGCTGGCCGCTCCCCGCTCGCAGAGCGTCGGCATGGCCTTTCAAGGACCTTGCATCCATATCGTGCGTCCTTCTGATGCGGGTTGACTGCATGTTGCATGCCTTCGTGCGGGAGACTTCCAGATGCCTCCAGACGCCGTCTGGGACCTCTTTGGAGGCTCTCCTGGGTTGTCTTGAGGGCCTCTTTTGGCCATCTTGAGCTAATTTGGCCCATTGTTGCGGTCCTCTTGGGCCGTTTCGAAACCTTGTGAAGCCCTTTTCTGAGTCATGTTGCGCAGAAAGCCCGAAGAACCTATATAGCTTCACACACCTAAAGGATTCTGACGCTTTAGGCAGTCTCGGACTTCCGCCTCTTGGAGGTCTCTCGGGGCTTCTTGAGACACTCTTGGGGCCTCTCCAGTCACCTCGGGATTTCTTGGAGGCCTCTGTGGCCTTCCTCGAGGCATCTTCGAGCTATCTTGCACTGTCTGGCCACCCCCTGGGAGCCCTCTGGAGCCGTCCTGAACGCCCCCTGGACCTCGTTGGCGCCCTTCTGAGGGGTCAAACTTAGTGTTCCGATGGCCCTTTTGCCCCTTAATCTGCCTCTTGTGGTTCCGTCAGCCATTTTCGACAGTGTTGGGTGCTCATTCGAGCTGTCTTTGAGGCCTCTTTGGGTCCTCGTGGCTGGGTTAAGAGGTTCTCAGGCCCTGGGGCCGTGTTGGACCCCTCTTCAAATGGCCCTCGTCTGCTTCCATCATGCCATCATGCCTCCCAAAGTCTGTTCTACCCACCTGTCTACTTTTGCATCACAGCGACCATGCTCGACAAAAGTGAGCCGCTGGTGTCTGTCCCCTCAGGGGCGTTCAACCCGTCATTGTGGTCGTCGTCGAGGTCTTCGTAGTCGTCGCCGTCGTCGTCCATGTCTTCGCGGTCGTCCTCGCCGTCGAAGACGATGTGGTCGTCGTCGCCGCCATCATCTTCCTCCACCTCCATCTGAACACCCACCTGCACCTGCCCCTATTTCCCAATTCCCCTCTTCTGCGCCCTCTTCTGCCCCTCCTCGGCCTCCTCCGTCCTTCCAGCACTTCGTCATCCCCGGCCTCGTCCGCCCCCTCTTTGGGTGTTCCTCCGTACCCTCCCAGGCTTCCACTCGTGTAAGATCCTGCCATCACCTGACAGCAGCGAACACGCACAAGAAAGCGTGGCGGCGGTGCCTGCCCCCTCGTCGGCGCTCGATGGAATAGGAAGACCACCTTAGCGAGAGACCCGACCATATGCACTCGTGAGTCAGGCCGTCATGTGTCTCGTCTTCGGTGGGACTTCCAGTGGGGCCGCGGAGCGTGTGAGGGGTGTGCCGAGATGGGTGGAGCGGCCGCATGCGGGCTGTGCCAGTGGGGCTTTCGGTGCAGCTCCCTACGGGGCCACGGAGCGTGTGAGGGGTTTGCCGAGATGGGTGGGGCGCGCGGCCGCACGCGGGCTACGCCGCCGAAGCTTTTCGGTGGAGTTCCCCATGAGGCCACGGAGCGTGTGAGTGAGCAGGGGGAAGCCGGCCCCGGCCCCCACAAGGATGGATTTTAGCTGTCGGCGTTTTACAAGTATGGCGAATGCGTGTAGGCACAGGCGATTTACTCGTTGCCCTGTTTTTCCTTCGCAGGTGGCATAGCCTGTCCCTGCTTGCCCGGCGTCCGACTTGACTCGTGCGCCCTGCAAGGGAGGCCATTGCCACTTGCCACCACGAACCCGCGCGAGCGGCGACGGCTTCGCAGCTCGCGGCCCCCAGCGGGGGCGATGTCCGCTCTGGGCCCGCGCAGGACGCCGCTCCGCTGGGCTTCCCAGTAGCGTTAAGTCGGACACGTCCCTCTACAGGAGGAATCTTCAAAAATAGTGAAACATAGTTTGGGAACAATTTTTCGATTATCTTTTGGCTATGTTTGAATATTTTTGTGCTACTTCGAATATGTTTTAGGGTTTTTTTATTTGTGCGATCCCAAACTTATTCGCAACCATCCTGTAGTGTTGGGTCCTGGTTTTGAAGAGAAGTCGCCCCGCGTTCTCCTCTCCTCTCCTTCTCCTTCTCCTTCTCCTTCTCCTTCTCCTCTCCTCTCCTCTCCTCTCCTCTCCTCTCCTCTCCTCTCCTCTCCTCCTCTCCTTCCCTCCTCTCCTCCTCTCCTCTCATCTCCCTCCCTCTCCTCTCTCTCCTCTCTCTCCTATCCTCCTTCCTTCTCTCCTACCCTCCTCTCCCTCCTCTCCTTCCTCTCCTCTCTCCTACCTCTCTCCTCTCCCTGCTTCTCCTCTCCTCTCCCTCCTCCCCCCCTCCCCCCCTCCTCCCCTCCGGCGACAGCCACACCACACGGCACACCCTCACTGTTTCGTGGCCCCGTTATGGAGCCCACCGAAGGCCCCAGAGCTGCGCCCGAGCATGTGGGCCACACCCACGTTTCGGCACCCCCCTCACACGTTTCGAGGCCCCATAGGGAGCCCACCGAAGGCCCCAGTGCTGCCGCCCGCATGCGCCACCACACCCAATTCGGCCACACCCTCACCCCTCACACGTTTTCGAGGCCCAATTAGGGCAATAGCCCCCACGAAGGCCCCAGTGTTGCGCCGCATTGCGTCACCCACCACCCATTTCGGCACACCCCTCACACGTTTCGAGGCCCCATAGGGAGCTCCACCGAAGGCCCCAGTGGCTGCGTTCGCATGCCTCCCCACCACCCATTTCGGCACACCCCTCACACGTTTCGTGGCCCCATAGGGAGCTCCACCGAAGGCCCCAGTGTTGCGCCCGCGCTTGCGTCCCACCACCCCATCGGCACACCCACACATCACACGTTCGTGGCCCATAGGAGCTCCGCCGAAGGCCCCAGTGTTGCCGCCCGCATGCGTCACGCACACCCAATTCAGCACACCCCTCACACGTTTCGTGGCCCCAATGGAAGCTCCGCCGAAGGCCCCAGTGCTGCCGCCCGCAGGCGTCGCCCGCACCCAATTCGGCACACCCCTCACACGTTTCGTGGCCCCATAGGGAGCTCCGCCGAAGGCCCCAGTGCTGCCGCCCGCATGCATCACGCACACCCAATTCGGCACACCCCTCACACGTTTCGTGGCCCCATAGGGAGCTCCGCCGAAGGCCCCAGTGATGCGCCCGCAATGCGTCGCCCACACCCGAA